TTAGATTAGGAAGAAGACTTCAATTTAAGTGGAGGGTAAGGACTCCATTGGAGGGCCATTGATCAGCAATCTGATTTGGTACCCACTGGGTATATTGGAGGCATTGGACTATACAGCAGATTGCTGAGTTTCAGCGGGCAAGGTTTGAACAAATGATTCCCAAACCTCGTAGAATTTTTGGACCCATGATCCTTATATAAGGAGGCCTCTCTACCCATTCCATGTGGAAAATAAAGGATCATTTGGCTATGCAGTTGAGGGTTCCAAGTAGATCAATTTATGAAGGATGGCTTTCCGCACTACGATGGGTAGTGTGTTGAAGTACACTGGCTATCACGCAGTGATTTTGAAGAGTGGGACCTGAAAGGTGGGAAAAACTCCACGTCCATTTGTTAGGGTCAGTTGTTGGAGAGATGTAGAAATGTATTTTCTACTTGAATTAGGATATCCTAAAAACATGTGAAATACATTTCCCCAGTCCCATTGATAGAATTTTTTTTAATGGTTGAGGCAATCTAGGATGGCACCTTTAGGAATAGGCTTGTTATTGGGGCGGACACAGAAGAGATGGAGGCCCTCAGAAGGGGAGGTTTGGGGCTGCTCTGTGCAATACCATTGCAGAGAGCAGGTAAATATAACAGGTTTTGTTATTTTATTTTAAAACAAAAAATGTCCTTTAGTAATGCTATAAGGCGTCTGTTGCTGTTGTAAGGTACATATGCCTATGGTTGTTCCTATGCGTTGCTGTTGTTCAGTCTATGGGTTGCTGCCAAAGGTGAAAATTTTGTAGGCATACTTAAGGTCAGAGCATTCAACCACTTCACACCTTTAGGATGTATCTGTATGTTCTCAGCTTGAAGTGGTTGTACAGGGATCATGACTGCAGCCAGATTCTGGTACCAAAATTTTCAGCCGGCATTGGGCTTTAATGTAGAAATGATCCAGGCAGCTTCAAATCCACAGATCACTTCTACAGGACATGGATGGGGACCTGCTGCTGTTATGTGGCCTGAAGAACACAGGGGAGAAAGGTACATTCATACTCTTCCCCCTCTGTGACATAAGAAGCCAGAAGATTTAATCACTTTCTGTTTTTTAAAATATACTACTGGTCTATAAAGATCTTCGTTTGATCAGATGGTTTTGAGGGCACATGAAAGATCTGTGGTCAGTAAAGAGTACCTGTCACTGACCATGCTATCACAAGGGATGTTGTTCATCCTTTGTGATTAGACATGTCCAATTCGTTTCGATATGAATTGAAATTGGGACAAAATTTTCATTATTTGGATGTATCCAACTTTCCAATTCACAATAGTAACTAATTTCAATGAATCCAAAACACGAATTTAAATTAAAAAATTAATTCAATTTGAAATGGAAACATATTGCAAGAAATACAGTAAGGTATAAAAGTGAAATAGGAAATATGATTCCTATTGCTTTATAGAATAGGACAGAAAAAAATAGAATACAAACAGACTAGAATAATACAGAATGTAACATAAAAGAATAGAATAGAAAATAAAATAATAGAATATAGCGGTCTTCCGAAATTCGAATTGATTCAATATTTTTTATCTAAATTAGAAATTAGGTCTTTAACCACCTTCCGTCTGGCTGTTGTATATAAACAGATGGATGGTGGCAGTGCAGGGTTGGGTGGCCATTTATAAACGGCCTCCCCGCACCCTGCTTATGCGCGCTTCCTGGGAGCGCGCAGCACTGCGATCCAGTGCCCGCTGTGTCCTTCAGACACAGTGGAACACTGATCGTCGGACGGGACCTCTGTGCAAGGTCCCTATCATGTGACCACTGATTGGCCAATCAGTGATCACATGTAGAGTAGTAAGCAAGATATCACTTGTGACATCATTGCTTACTACGTGTGAAATCTGTGAATGATCACAGAGGTCACATGGGACAAGGCTATTCACAACAGCCTTGTACCATGTGACAAGCTGTGACCAATCACAGCTCACTCAGTAGTTCTCAATGGCTGCAAGAATGCAGCTAGAGAGAAGGAGAAATGATTGCTTTTACAGCCTTTATGGGTGTAAATGCAATCAGTGTAAAAAAAAAATCTTCATCACCCCCCACAAGTAGTACAGTGTTGTACTGCCAGGGTGACAGTATGTAAAAAAAAAAAAAAAATCATAAATATAATAAAAAAAATATTTAAAAATTATAATTTTTGGTTATAAACTAATTTGGGTTATTTTTTTTTTTTTTACTAAAAAGATAACGGAATGAATTTTGGCTAAGATTTATGATGAAATACTATTTATTTGCAAAATTTAATAAGAAAAACACTTTTTTTCAAAATTTTTGGACTTTTCATTTACATAGCAAAAAAATAAAACTCCCAGTGGTGAATAAATACTACCAAAATAAAGCTTTATCTGTCTCAAAAAGATGCTCAAAAAAATTCATATGGGTACAGTGTTGCATGACCGCGCAATTGTCATTCAAAGTGTGATAGCACTGAAAGCTGAAAATTGGCCTGGGCAGGAAGGGGGTAAAAGTGTCCGGACTTGAATTGGTTAACAAATTGAACTGAAACTACACACATTTTTTCGTTCTGCACATGTCTACTTCTAATAGCAATAAAGTTGATAAAAAATGTAAAAAAAATAAAATAAAAGCACCTCGCCCCCGTGCAAATACGCATGCATATGTAAACCGTGATCGCACCGCACATGAGGTATCACCATGAACATCAGAGTCAAGTGAAATAATTCTAGCACCAGACTTCCTCTTTAACTCTAAACTGGTGCCCCGTAAAAGTGTTTAGGCATCATAGTCTGTCACCATTCTACGGTACAACATCATCCATTATATTTTACCAAAAACTGAGTATTCTATTGTTTGTGTGCACTAAAATTCATTACAATGTATTTTTTTCCCTGAAAATTAGATTTAGCAAAATTGATACAATAACCAGAGATAAGACCAAATGATTTGGAAGAATACTTTTAATAGGTTATTGTTAGACTTGAATTTCACTTTTAACAAAAAGTCAAGTACTATACTTAAAATTCCTGTTATCTTGCTAGACATCCAGTGGGATTGGTTTAGTAGAAAGCAAACAGACTGGGCACTTTGCAAGTACAGCTGCACTTGTTTGCCCCAGAGCTTAGTAAATGTGGTAAATCCCTGCTGATTTCCATCATCCAATCGTGTGTGAGCAAAAAGGTTTTTTTTTTTCTCTTTGAGCCTGACTGGGTATCCTTTACAAAGTGAAGATTCACCACGTTGACACTAAGAAAAAAGTGCAACTGCCCTTGGAAAGTACACAGAACACAGTAGATTGAATAAAGGCAGATAGACTAAGTACAATTAGATCCTGAACACAATGGTATGATACATCTCCAGGGGACAAGGACATTACTGTCACTTTTAAAAATGGCTTCACTCATGAGCTTTTAGAACTCAACAGAGGATTTCTATTTCAACTTTAGCAAATTGGAACATGGAGTCCACTAATTTTGCCTTTTTGATACGTGATCTATAAAGATAAAGCACATCGGGTTTGATTTATTAAAACTGGAGCCCTCAGACTCTGGTGCAGCTGTGCATGGTAGCCAATCAGTGTCTAAGTTCATCTTGTTCAATTAAAACTGCGTTCCACCCAAAAGGATATTACATATACAGTATTACAGGACCATGCAATGACCCTTCCGACAGTACAGAGACATATTACAGGACCATGCAATGACCCTTCCCACAGTATAGAGACATATGACGGGACCATGCAATGACCCTTCCCACAGTACAGAGACATATTACAGGACCATGCAATGACCCTTCCCACAGTATAGAGACATATGACGGGACCATGCAATGACCCTTCCCACAGTATAGATACATATGACGGGACCATGCAATGACCCTTCACACAGTATAGAGACATATGACGGGACCATGCAATGACCCTTCCCACAGTACAGAGACATATTACAGGACCATGCAATGACCCTTCACACAGTATAGGGACATATGACGGGACCATGCAATGACCCTTCCCACAGTATAGGGACATATTACAGGACCATCCAATGACCCTTCCCACAGTATAGGGACATATTACAGGACCATGCATGATACACCATGGAATGTTGCCAGCACTGTTCCAGTTCCAAAAACAATGGTCTCTTTTACTGGATGCAGTTACCTCATTCCCAAAATTTGGGGCAGATAAACTGGTGGCGGGGTTGTCATAAGCAGCATTGGTCTTATACTGTGTTGCTGTATCTTTAAATCATCTCTAGCCAAACTTTGTTTAAAGTTTGGATAGATTGGGGAAGGGTTAGACTTTTTGTTTTTTCAATGCCATCTGTGTTTGGGGCTGCTTGCCTGCATGGCTGTCAAATTGGGACCAGGAGCTCATTCAAAGATTACGAGTGTCAGCAGGGCCATGGATAAGGGGGTACCACCAGTCCTCCTGTACGGTGCCCAGGCCAGCAGGGGGGCCCAAGCAGTTGGGTGAATTGGATGTGGGCAGGGAGGGTGATCAGCACAGCGGTCGGGGCAATTATTGGAACTGATCCCGATATGCTCTTTCTGCCGCAGTTGAAAGCTGGTTTCTTCTCCCCCCTCCTGCTGGTTTTCAGCTGCTGCACAGAGGGATCGTTTCCAGTAATTTCCCCCCCCCACCACACTTATCCCCCTCCCTGTGAACCTTACTTTTCTCCCTGTATGCCCCATCCTCGCAGCGCAACCGGCTTGCCTCCTCTCCTTCCCACCGGCAGCTGCAAGCACACAATAGGATCCTTCAGGATGGAGAGTGGGGGAAGGGTCCATAATATGTCACATTTGCCAGCCCCTTTCTTTCCTGAATGAACATAATGAGTGATTGGTAGCTGTGTTCATTCATTAATGAAGCATAGTAGACTGTGTTTTCTTTGGGGGCCCTGTCAGGTTGGCTGTATGGGGCCCTGTGGTTTCTAACAGCAGCCGTGAGTGTCAGCACCTGTCTGAGACCAGAGTAAAAAGACCTGTTAAAAATAGTCAATTTCAGAAGCTTCTATATATCTGGAAATGTATTGTACAAGGGAATTCTCATTTGTAGATTCCTTCAGGTAGAAATGCCCCCCGGGCAGCATGTGAATGTTGAAATCTCCACTTGTCAAATCTTTCCAAGCTGTGGAGGAAATGCAGTGAAAAAGGTAAGAAAGGTGCAAAATGCAATTAAAGAGAACTAGTCATGTTCTACTACTAACCTGTAAAGTACACAACACATCAAGTACTGTGGATCTTCTTTATGGGGTGTATTTACTAAAGCTGGTTTCCTCAGAATCTCATGGACATGTGCATGGGAGCCAATCAGCTTCTAACCTCAGCTTGTTCAATAAAGCTTTAGCAATACAACCTGGAAGCTGATTGGTTTCTATGCAGAAGTGTACGAGATTCTGAGTGAACCAGCTTTACCCTAGGATCACACCTAAGCGTTTTCCGCAGCGGTTTACAGAAACACACTACAGTCCATCATTTCCTATGGGACAGGTTCACATCTCTGTGTTTTCACCTGATACATTTTTTGGAAAGAATCAGGGACTTTTTTAAACGCAAAAAGTTGCATTTTTGGTTCTATAGACTTCTATGGAAAGCATGTAGTGTGTTTTTGCTGTGTTTTGAGTTTTAAATCTGCCTAGCAACAAAAAAAAAACAGAAAACGCCTCAAAAACACAGCAAAAACGCAGGTCCAAAAATGCAAAACGCGATAAAGAAACTGGTCAAACGCAAACTGCATAGGTGTGAACCTAGCCTTAGTAAATAAACCCCTATGTCTCTCTCTGCCCCCATGGAGGGAGCTATAAATCCCTACCTATACACAAATCAGGCAAACATTCTGAGAGTCTACCTCTTTTGCTCCTGAATTATTGATGCCACTAAAGCAGGCATGTCCAAAGTCCGGCCCGCGGGCCATTTATGGCCCGGGGGTCGGTTTAATACGGCCCTCCAACAGCCCTCCCTGCTCTGTGTAATGTGGCCCTCCCACGGCCCTCCCTTCTACGGCAGACAGTCTTCTGCTTGAGAGCAGAGGGCAGTGCGCATGCCTGACTGCGGCGCGTTCTCCCTGGTCTGTGTAAATGCGGCTGTCGCACGGCCCTCCCTTCTGTGGCAGACAGTCTTCTGCTTGAGAGCAGTGTGCATGCGTGACTGCGCCGCGCTGGGAGCGACAGAGGGCGGTGACGTCAGGGCCGGGCTTCCAGCGTGAAGTGTGTTTCTCTTCCCCTCCCGGCTGCCGAGCAGAGACTTCAGCTCCAGCTACCTTTTTCACCCTTCACATTAGTGCAGGTAAGTTTTTTCAAATTTATTTTCAATACATTGTGAAAACTCAGCTGTCAGTTGATCTTAATGTTATGAAATGAAAAGTATGTCGTTTGCAATTAACTTGGCATAAAATAATTTATTTGCATTTAATTGTAATGGTTCAAAGAATGTTCGGAAAAAATGTTCGGCCCTCCACCATGTTCACTTCATTCAATCTGGCCCTCTTTGAAAAAAGTTTGGACACCCCTGCACTAAAGGATAAATTCACCTTTATGAACATTTAACGTAATGGAAAAAAAAAATAATAGTAATAAATGCACATTTTTTTTATCTGCAAAAATGCACCTCTGTTTTTTTTTTCTTTTTCAAAGGTGAAGTTATCCTTTAATGCATTCATCACCAAGAGCAGCAATAAACTCTCCCAACATCAGCCTCACTTGCATAGATGTGATTGGAGGTTTATTATTATTAATATTACAGGTACTCATACAGCGCTGCCGATTTACACAGCCAGGAATGACAGCTGTTGGAACAGTAATGCAGTAAATCACTCTGGCAGCTCTCTGTTCCTATGTGAATTCAGGCTGGATATGTTCAACATGTTTACAGCTGAACTCCGGGCAATTTGTTTTCCCAATGCAGTGGGGGTGTGCCTGCACTGCACATGTTGTATACTAGGGAAGAGGACAGCAGAGATATACTTACCTGATCCTCCGATCCTCTCTGTACAAGACCGGTCCACCATCCACACGCTCCAGCGGTCTTGAAAATGGACTGTTTCTGAAGTCATCACGCACAGTGCAGACTCCATAGACAGGAACAGTCCACCACTGGACTGTAGGCAGGGGTGTATTTACAACAAGGCATTTGCCTAGGGCGACATTTTTCAGTGGGGTCAGCACTACCCCTTGGAAGAAAGAACAGAAGAAGACACACACACACAGCATGGGGACCTGTTGGGTTCTGAGAGATTCTGTGGGTTTCAGGAGAGCCTGACTCTCGTTCCCGGGGATGTCCGGAACTGTGAAGGTGAGTGTCTTTCTCTCTCTCGCCATGGGGGATGGTGGCTGGCGTATGGGGAGCAATGGTAGTGGAAGGCTCGGGCGGAGGGCAGGGGTGCTCTTGGTCAATTTCCCTCCCCCTTACTGCAGGGGGAGGGGGCGCCAATTTTTGTGTTGCCTAGAGCAGCACAAAACCTAAATACACCACTGACTGTAAGGGGGGCATTTTCCCAGAGGATGGAATGATTAGGTCAGTATAAACTTTGTGCTCACCCCTCGAAGAAATAATCAGCTACCCATGCGGTGCAGGCACAGCTCCACTGTGTGGGTAAAAAAATTTTGACCAGAGTTGGGCTTTAAAGAAGAGGTTTAGTCTACTGGAAAAAATTAATGTTTGAAACGAAGAACTGCTTTCCAGATCAGAATTTCACTTTCTCAACAACAGGATTATTGTTCTTTTTAGAAGAAGGTTTATACTATATATTTCCAGTCCATGTTGTGTATTTCGATCTTTGCTGTCTTGCAAAGCTGTCCAATGTATGTTCAGCTTCTGACACGTTCGGGGATTTTGGATGCCTTCCCTTTTCATCCCTGTGCGTTTTAGGTGCGGTGCATTAACACCAAAATCCTGCTTGCTGGATCTTTGATGCACTTTTCCTGTAAAAGTACGTTATATAAAGTTCAAAGGTAACGCGCCTGAAACTCAATGCTCCTAAAATGCACTACAAAGATGTGAACCAGCCCCAAAGGGCACAGTAATGATGTAGCAGTTGGTGGGTGGAGCCACAGAGAGCAGCAAGTGATGCGATATTCTGACACTGCTGACTATTCCTTTTGAAAATGCTAGTTGCCTGCCTGTCACTCTGATGCATTCCCTTGCATGCTTTGAGTCAATGACCTGGAACAAGAATAGAGATCAAGAATTCTGACTCTTTTTTCACTCTGCAGATATCTGTATGACTTGCGAGCCAATTTATATCCACCCAATATTAACCTCCCAAAATCATCAAAAAAAATGGACACACACTGTCCCAAATGTTAATAGGATCGCAAAACACTCAACACACTACTACCTCTGTGTCCATAAAGTTAATAATTCATATTGTGTTGCGCTCCCAGTGAGAAGATCTGTGATATTAATAACTCTATTTACCCTTAGTAAACAAATATATAATCAGGGGATTTTACAAAAAATATATACAGAATAAAATTTTTTTATATATTATTAAAAAATTTATATATATTATCCACTGATGAAAATATAAATGTGGAAATAATATCCCCAGAAACAATAAGTGATAAAATAATGTGTACTAAAACATAAATATAAATAAATCAATATGCATCATGATTGGTGAATAATCAAAAAATACAAATAACTTGAAATATATATATATGTACTGCAAATTAATTTGTGATATTAATGTCCTTTAAATACAGTGACTTTGTGCTTGATTAAATCTTGATTTGGTGACTTATTGTGAATCCGTGACTCTCTTTGAATCCTTAATTAGTGAAGATGTATGCTCACCTCCTTATTAGCCTGCAATTAGGCTATACACACTTGTGGTTCACCTCCTATGGAACCTGCTTAGATGGAATTCCTCCTTTACAGATTGTAAAAACGTGGATATCCGTTATCCTCAATTAGCCCATATGCGTTTTTCCATATGTGGGGACAAATTGCCAAACATAGTGTTTTATCCTTATAAAAAGGTTTCTGCTTTATTGCTCTCCAACAGGTACACTCACATAAATAGTATGCGGTATAGGATGAATTGCTCAGCTCAAGTAATCCGCCAGCCGTCTAGCCATGCACTCGCCGTCTGTCAAACACTCCGGCTCTCTCCGAGTGACACCGCAGCCCCACCCCTACGCGTTACGCCACTGGTCACGTGGCTTCATCAGTGGGTTGTGATAGCTATCACAACCCCCTGATGAAGCCACGTGACCAGTGGCGTAACGCGTAGGGGTGGGGCTGCGGTGTCACTCGGAGAGAGCCGGAGTGTTTGACAGACGGCGAGTGCATGGCTAGACGGCTGGCGGATTACTTGAGCTGAGCAATTCATCCTATACCGCATACTATTTATGTGAGTGTACCTGTTGGAGAGCAATAAAGCAGAAACCTTTTTATAAGGATAAAACACTATGTTTGGCAATTTGTCCCCACATATGGAAAAACGCATATGGGCTAATTGAGGATAACGGATATCCACGTTTTTACAATCTGTAAAGGAGGAATTCCATCTAAGCAGGTTCCATAGGAGGTGAACCACAAGTGTGTATAGCCTAATTGCAGGCTAATAAGGAGGTGAGCATACATCTTCACTAATTAAGGATTCAAAGAGAGTCACGGATTCACAATAAGTCACCAAATCAAGATTTAATCAAGCACAAAGTCACTGTATTTAAAGGACATTAATATCACAAATTAATTTGCAGTACATATATATATATTTCAAGTTATTTGTATTTTTTGATTATTCACCAATCATGATGCATATTGATTTATTTATATTTATGTTTTAGTACACATTATTTTATCACTTATTGTTTCTGGGGGATATTATTTCCACATTTATATTTTCATCAGTGGATAATATATATAAATTTTTTAATAATATATAAAAAATTTTTATTCTGTATATATTTTTTGTAAAATCCTCTTTTTTCACTCTCATTTATGTGATCATTTCAGCTTTAATTTGGTGACTCAAAAATATTTGTGCCAGACACAACCAGACAACAGACATTTTTTAAAGGAGCCCAGAAATGGCAGTTCTTGTACCTCTATCATGACCAGGTCACTCCAACATTTTAAATTGTGTTCAGTTAGAGGGGATGAGCACAAATATAATTTGTAGTGTTATAAGGTCTCCGATTATGATAGTTTACCAAAAATAGACCAAAGCTTACCAGTTAGATCATGAGGGACATCTTCAGTTCCATCAAAACACGTAAGGCCACAGGACAGGACAGGAGTAGGTGGCTTTTCATAGCTAAGGAGGATAAAATACTTATTATAACTGGGTTATATACAAAACAATAGAGTGCTTTTACAATGACAGTTAGGGAGTAATTTACTAAAATTGGTACACACAGAATCTAGTGCAGATGTGTATAGTGACCAATCAGCTTCCAGGTTTTATTATCAAAGCTTTATTGAACAAGCTGAAGTTGGAAACCAATTGGTTACTATGCACAGCTGCACCAGATTCCGTGTGCACCAGTTTTCATAAATCTCCCCTTACCCTAGGCTCACTCCTAAGTGTTTTCCGCAGCGTTTTGCAGAAACGCACTACAATCCATTTAACATGATTTCCTATGGGACACGTTCACATCTCCGCGTTTTCACCCGGTGCGTTTTTTGGAAAGGGTCAGGGACTTTTTTAAACAGAAAAAGTAGCGTTTTTGGCTCTATAGACTTCAATGTAAATTCTGCAGAAAAGCATGTAGTGTGTTTTTGCTGTGTTTTTGATGCATTTTTGTGTTTTAATCTACGTAGCAACAAGAAAAAAACAAACAAATGCAAAAATTCATCAAAAATGTGGCAAAAACGCAAAAAGCACTGCAGAAATGGATCAATCGCAAGCTGTATAGGTGTGACCCTAGCCGAAGGCCTTGTTCACACCAAATGTGCCGAAAAGCTGATGGAAACTGACAAGCAGATTTCACTTGCAGAGACATCAGTTTACATTAGTTTTCATGCACGCTCCAATGTGTTTTATACACATTGCAGATTCCTGCGCAGAAAAAACTCTGCACGTGATACTAGTGTTGTGGTGTGAACAGGGCACATAGAGAGCAATTGATTTAATTGTGCCCTTTCAGGGTGCATGAAGAAAAGCAAATATCTCTGCTGTGAACAAGCCCCAAGTGTCTTTTTTTTCTAAGTTTCTGTTGCAAAAGATCTTATTATGGACGTTACACAGTATTAACCAGAACAGAAAATCCTTCCTCAATAAAAGCACCCCTGGAGTTTGGAATGCCCAAGTGCTCCAAAGTATATAGAGTTCCTAGGCCAGTGATGGCGAACCTTTTTGAGCCCGAGTGCCCAAACTGCAACCCAAAACCAACTTATTTCTTTCAAAGTGCCAACACTGCAATGAAACCTGAATATCGAGCTTTTGGTTTAGAAAAAACAACTCGTACAGTAGTGCAAACTAATTAACAGTACAGGGATGACTAGAGACTGCGGACACAGTACAGGAGATGACCAGAGACTGCGGACACAGTACAGGGATGACCAGAGACTGCGGACACAGTACAGGGATGACCAGAGACTGCGGACAGTACAGGGATGACCAGAGACTGCGGACAGTACAGGGATGACCAGAGACTGCGGACAGTACAGGAGATGACCAGAGACTGCGGACACAGTACAGGAGATGACCAGAGACTGCGGACACAGTACAGGAGATGACCAGAGACTGCGGACAGTACAGGAGATGACCAGAGACTGCGGACAGTACAGGGATGACCAGAGACTGCGGACAGTACAGGGATGACCAGAGACTGCGGACACAGTACAGGGATGACCAGAGACTGCGGACACAGTACAGGGATGACCAGAGACTGCAGACACAGTACAGGGATGACCAGAGACTGCGGACAGTACAGGGATGACCAGAGACTGCGGACACAGTACAGGGATGACCAGAGACTGCGGACACAGTACAGGAGATGACCAGAGACTGCGGACAGTACAGGGATGACCAGAGACTGCGGACACAGTACAGGAGATGACCAGAGACTGCGGACACAGTACAGGAGATGACCAGAGACTGCGGACACAGTACAGGGATGACCAGAGACTGCGGACAGTACAGGGATGACCAGAGACTGCGGACAGTACAGGAGATGACCAGAGACTGCGGACACAGTACAGGAGATGACCAGAGACTGCGGACACAGTACAGGGATGACCAGAGACTGCGGACACAGTACAGGAGATGACCAGAGACTGCGAACAGTACAGGAGATGACCAGAGACTGCGGACAGCACAGGAGATGACCAGAGACTGCGGACAGTACAGGGATGACCAGAGACTGCGGACACAGTACAGGGATGACCAGAGACTGCGGACAGTACAGGGATGACCAGAGACTGCGGACACAGTACAGAGATGACCAGTGACTGCGGACAGTACAGGGATGACCAGAGACTGCGGAAAGTACAGGAGATGACCAGAGACTGCGGACAGTACAGGGATGACCAGAGACTGCGGACACAGTACAGGGATGACCAGTGACTGCGGACAGTACAGGGATGACCAGAGACTGCGGACAGTACAGGGATGACCAGAGACTGCGGACACAGTACAGGGATGACCAGAGACTGCAGACATAGTACAGGAGATGACCAGAGACTGCGGACATAGTACAGGAGATGACCAGAGACTGCGGACACAGTACAGGGATGACCAGAGACTGCGGACACAGTACAGGAGATGACCAGAGACTGCGGACACAGTACAGGAGATGACCAGAGACTGCGGACACAGTACAGGGATGACCAGAGACTGCGGACACAGTACAGGGATGACCAGAGACTGCGGACAGCACAGGGATGACCAGAGACTGCGGACAGCACAGGGATGACCAGAGACTGCGGACAGCACAGGGATGACCAGAGACTGCGGACAGTACAGAGATGACTGCTGACCTTTGGGGAGGGAGGGGGAGCGGGTACCTGAATTTGACAGGTACCCGCTCTTACTTCCGCAGAGTTTTTTTTTTATCTTACCTGTTCCTTTATCCAGCCGCGCGTGGTCTTCCCGGCTTCTGTAGTGTGGGCGCTCGTCGGACAGCCGGATGCCCAGTGCGCATGCGCGAGAAGCGCTGCGCTTTGTGATTGGTCCGGCGGCTTCTGGGATCTGTCATGTGTCCCAGGTACCGCCTTACCATTCACAAAGAGCACTGCTTCTTGTGCATGCGCACTTGGGACCCGGCTGTCACGCACACTACAGCCGGGAAGACAGCGCGCCGCTGGATTCTCCTGGCGTGCCCACAGATAAGGCTCGGCGTGCCGGCTGTGGCACGCGTGCCACGGGTTCGCCATCACTGTCCTAGGCTGATGGCTCAGAAGCACGGCCCACATGCCTGGCCTCATGACTAGTCCAATACTATGACAGGCAGCCTAGCTGGCCAGTAGAAATTGTTAGGAGATGGAAAGGAGCAGGGACAGGTTCCCAACCTATTAAGGCTCCATGTACACGGGGCGTTTTAATAACGCTGGTAACGTTAGCTGTGTAAAGTCCATTAAAAATTTTAGTTTTTCAGTGTTTTTTCCACATTTTTTGCATTTGCATTTTTTTACCAAAACAAAAAACCCCCAAAAAACGCTGGTTTGCTGCGATTTACCGTGTTTTTTCAGCTTTAGAATGGATTTCCAGCTAAAAAAACGCCTCTAGAAACCCACTTTTTTTTTTTCCAGCCAAAAAACGCTGATTACAGTCTATGTGTGTATGGACACATAGGATAACATGCTGCGGAGTTTACTGGCTGTAGAAAAAAACCCGTCAAAAGCCAAAAAACAGCTGCTGTGAAAACGTCCCGTGTCCATGAGGACTTAGGCTAGGTTCACATCTGTGCGGGTGGTGCCGCTACGGATCCGCACAAAAATCCGTGCAGCCGCATCACCCACACTGAAGAATGCCGATCCGCGGGTGGGTTCCATTAATTCTAATGACATGCCGCCCGCACTGGAAATCGCAACCGTACTGGAAACCAAGGTTCCCATGTGGGCTGTGGTTTCCAAAGAAGTTCAGGGACCTTCTTCCCTGCGTGTCCCGGGGCACGGGAGTCCATTCAAATGAATGGGCTCTCGTGCCTGCGCAAACCGTGGCCCGCAGGAACGCACATATGTGAACCAGGGCTCAATGTATTTCAAAGCATTTGCGGATTCCAGAAAGCACAGCGCTTACATTGGGGAACAATCTGTTGCACCTAGAGGTGCCCTCTGTGACAGCATTGGTTTAGATAAGTATGCCCCCCTTCAGGTTTATTGTAACCTTTGATGAAATGTTCATGATATCCCACTCTGATCATGAACATTTTGTAAGAACTTCTATTCCACTACCCTGCGGGTGCCCTGTTTGTGCGGGGCCATAGAAACTTACACAAAGTTCTCCACCAGTTTCAGATCTGCTTTCAGCGGTGGTAAGAAGATCTGCATGGCCTCCTTGTTCTGCAGAAGCTCGGATGGCGTTCCCTGCGTTGAAGCCATCCATTTCAAGAACTCCTCATCACTGAGCTCTGATCTCTTCTGAGAAGAGTAACGAAGAGGCGACTACAATGAAGTGAGAAAAAAAAAAGAGTAATAACATTTAACTCCAGCACATTAAAAAAAAATCAGATCAGTTATACAAGTATGTGTTTCAGAAAAATATCATTAAAGTGGAACTTCACTCTCTCAATTGACGTGGACTATTTGTAATTTCTATATATCATATCTACTTGTTTTAAACTTTTTCTTTTTACATTTCTTCAGTTACTTCCTGGTTTCCATGCCTAGGCAAATTATGCCATTTATCCCCGGAGTCTTCAGGAAGGGAGGGTTCTCAGCTCAGCCTATGCCTGAGCAAAGGGCAGATGGATTCCAGGAAGTAAATGCTACATGAATCGACTGCCCTCACTCAAAATGGCCCCTGCCAGACATGCCAGGGGGTGCTTTTCAAAATGATTTCTCAGTAAAACAAGGCATGGAGACATGGATGGATGGGGGAGTTTGCTTTGAATATTAAAAATGAATTAAATAGCATTTTTGGTTTGTGGTGCTTAGTTCCGCTTTAAGGTGTCCGTTTATGACACAGAGAATAGCTGCGATTCAACAGATCTCAGCTATTCTCTGGTCATTCACAGTTTATGACACTCAGGAGATCATGTCAGCCCTTCTCTGGAGATCTGTGTTCTCCCTCCAGATTCTCCAGCCCAGAGCTGGAGAATCAGAGGGACCGCAAACTAAGCAGCGATAATTTACCTCTGCTTAGTAAACTGATCTTTTACTGTAATCTCGCGAGATTATAGTAAAATGAGCCGTTTTCCAGAGTTTGTAGACCGTTCTCCAGCGTTTGGAAATCGTTCTCCCTTCGTTCGTTCGGAGAACTGCTTCATAAACTGCATTCACAGAAGAACTGTGTTCTCCGAGAATGCCGGAGAACTGAGCAGAGATCTATTACCGCTGGTTCATAAACGGACACCTAAGTGTATATCATCATTTTGTTGAGTAGGGAGCCATCTATTGGGTTTTCACTACAACTGCACCTGTTTTTATCATTCCCTTCAACAAAAACAAGAAGTGTTTCATGTTTGTTAAAAATAAATAATTCCCATAAACCACTGCAACCTTTTTAGCTTCTAGAGCAGTGGTCTCCAAACTGCGGCCCAGGAGCCAAATGCGGCCCTTTGCTTTCTTTTATCTGGCCCTTGGAGCACTACTTATTTCACTGACACCAACGAAGGGGCACAATTTCCTCCCAATGACACCAATGATGGGACACAATTCTTCCGATTGACACCAATGATGGGGCACAGTTCCTCCCAATGACACAAACAATGGGGCCCAATAACATCAGAGACGGGGCACATTCTTTCCAATGACACCAGTGATGGGGAACAATTCCTCACATTGACACCAGTGATAGGGCACAATTCCTCCCACTGAGAACAATGGTGCCCAATGACATCAATGTTGGGGCACAATTCCTGACAATGTTGGGGCACAATTCTGAACAATAATGGAGAACAACTCCTACCAATGACACCAATGATGGGGCATTTGTTTACTCCAACTGATGCCGGGACATTTTCTACTACCAATGGCCACAGTCTGGCCCCCCTACAGTCTGAAGGACAGCAAACTGGCCCTTTGTTTATTATGTGCATTTGTGAGAGACATGTATGAAAAAATATTGTAACTTCAGTTTATGTGATTGCATTGCAGTTTTACAGAACTATTCACAGAAGTAAATTTGATTTTGGAATGAAACACAATGCAGCTTCAGTCAGTTACGTTAGCTAGCTGTTGGCTAACCGTTAGTAGGACAGCATAGATGTATTTTTAAAAGCAAGCAAGTCAGGTGAAATTGACTTGGAATCAACCTCTTCCGATCTCCTATACAACAGACTCAGACTGGGAGACAAAGCACAAGCAGCCAATCAGGTGTGCTATATAGAAAGAATCAGATTGGGAGAAGCAGCACCAGAAGCCAATTGGGTGTGCTTTACACCAGGACTCAGCCTGCAAGAGGAAACACAAGCAGCCAATCGGGTGTGCTGTAGTGTTCATGTGTTAAATTAGTTGTAAACCTCAGACATGAAATATGAACAAAGCTTATCCCTCAATAGAGTGTGCTTGTCTCAATACAGAGCACTAAGTGTAATTTCTATCTGCTGCCTCTTAACTCTGCTATAAGCATGAGTGACTTCTGACAAGTTTTCCTGACACCAAGAGAAAAATGGTGACAGGGGGAGGGACCTCCAGCAGACTGACAGCCTCATCTCTGTTCCTGTGAGCTGTGTGGAGGGGGTGTGTGTCTCTTCCCTCCAATCAGCTCTCAGAGCTCTCCTCACTGATGTAACTTCAGCTCTCTCTGCCCATTCTTCAGAGCAGAGAGATCCTGTGTAAATTCTACCCTTTGAACTGTCCAATCACAGGCAAACAAGTAAATCTAGTCATATTTGCCCTACTGGAATCACTGCCGTTTGTCTTTATTTTTCTATTTCTTTATTTCAGGTACTTGTATAACGCAGTCAATTTACACAGCGCTTTACATATATATTGCACATTCACATTAGTCCCTAATCCTCAAGGGGTGTATAATCTATGGAAATGATCATTCTAAGACTTTCATCTGTAGGGTGGTGAATGTGCAGCAAATATATGCTGTGATCCTGGATCAGGATCTTCTGGGATCCCCCTAAAGTAGCCACGTGTCCCTGTGATGAAACGCGTTGGGAAGAGCTTTGGATGACATCATCGTACAGTATACTGATCCACAGAGACTGTGTTGTATCTGAACAATTTTATTTGGTGTTGGTTGATATATGGAAAGATTTTAAATAGCGCTACACAGTTTTTTTTTTATCTACCTTATTTTGGCACATTGCATATCAAATAAAGTATTATATTGTAACACTTAATAGAACGTGTAACTGTCTTGTTTCCTTGTCTATTGACATGTATCTACACACTTCTGCTGTGCAAAAAGATGACAAAATTATTTTTTGTACTATTATTTATTTGGTGCCAATTGTGAGATATTTTATGGTGAAAAGTTACACTTTGGATTTTTCTGTTTTTTTTGTACAGTTACCACACTAGTTGCATCTTTCATTCCAAACCCTATATTAAAAAATCTTCCTTAAAGTGGTTGTAAGCCCTTACATATACCCAGTGAAGTGACTAGCCTCAAGTGATACACAGAGTTTAAACAAATCTTCCCACAGAGGTTGTACCTGTTTATCAGCAGTATTCTCTTCTCTACATCCATTCAAAGTGCTGAATTTCTACAGCTTGTCTGAGCTTTTAGAAAACACAGGGGGAGAGCAGAAATTATACACTGCAGAGCTCAGTGAGGAGAGCTCTGAGAGTTGATTTGGAGGGGAGGGACATCCCCCTCTTTCTCTTGGTGTCAGGAAAACTTTTTGGAAGTGATTCATGCTGATAGCAGAGGAAGGAAGCAGCTGACAGGAATGACACTATAGAGGGATATGCTTTGTTCATATTTCATGTCTTGGTTTAAAACCACTTTAAAACTACAAAACCTAAATGTTCAATTGAAAATTTACAAAATTAATCACCGTCCTCGGGACCCTTTTGAGCTGATTATAATACAAACAATTTGGAAGCAGACCATGAAAATACACGGGCTCTGCAGTTAGATATCTGCCTTTATTTTCTAAGCTGCATCAGACAAATAATAACTGTGATCTGGCTGGTTGTGATGGGCACCTCTATATTTTTCCATAGAAAGCCTCCAGGATATCATATAGCTGACTCACGTGAGGGGCAGAGGCTCCGGACACAAAGAGATGTATGGGCTCCAGTCCGTGCTTCTCCTTCAGTCTCACCGCTGTGGCAAAACTGCTGAATGACCCAAAACTGAGGATAAAAGAATGAATTTTACTGGAACATAAAGTACTTTACCAAGTTAGGTTAAAAGAGAAGTATGGGAATTAAAAAAAACAAACAAATATACATTCTCACCTAGGTGGATACAGTATCAGTCCAATGCTGCATTTGTCTCCCACCACGTCTAAGACTGAGAAATGAGCAATCACATGACCGCTGATTGGTTTTCGGTTTTCAGTGAGCAGAGAGCGGTGGCTGTCAGTCGCCAGCTCTCTGCTCTGCCCCTCCAGCTCTCATTGGAGCTGCAGACTGTGGAAGGCTTGTGCAGCTTGTGAAGGCTCGCAGCGGCGCGCTGAGAGGCTGAGCCAGCGGTCCCTCAGGCATATGGGTGTATGATGACATTAAAAATTGGGATCCCTCCAGAGTATGGACCAGCTGAGAGACATCAGCTGTCAGCGTCTTTTAACCCGCTGTCAGATAAACACAAGTCACAGGAATGCAGAACTATGTGCACTCCTGTAACCCACAGGAGAAGTAGGGCCAAAAAAGCTCTGGCCCTACTTTTCCTTTAAAGTGACTCATGGCATTCCTCTTGCTTCTCAGTCTAATGGCCTGTGTTTTTTTTTTTATTTATTTATTACAGGTACCTATTATAGTGCCAGCAGTTTACAGAGAGCTTTACAGGTGTGTATATATATACATATATATTGCACATTCACATCAGTCCCTAACCCTCAAGGAGTGTCGAATCTAAGGTCCCTAACTCACATTCATACATACACATACTAGGGCCAAATTGGACAGGAACCAATTAACCTACCAGCATGTCTTTGGAGTGTGGGAGGAAACCAGAGTACCCAGAGAAAGCCACGCAGGCACAGGGAGAACATGCAAACTCCAGGTATAAGGTGCCGTGGTTGGGATTTGAACTAACAACACTACTACTGACAGGCGGAAGTGCTAACCATTTAGACACTATGCTGTTGATGGGCTTTTGTTTGCATCAATCAGATTACATGGGTGCAGGAAGTAGCTTGGTGAGTATCTCCAACAGAAAGTCAAACTTTATAGGGAATATAAATGATTAGAAGGCATACTGAGTCCTCCGCAGGAGAAGAGCCCAGGGAGCTAGACCCGAGAGACAGTGAGGAGTCAGTGGAGGACAAGTAATGGGAAATAACAGCGGCTATCAATCTAGCTTGTCAATGGAAACAACTGATTTAAGTCAAGGTAAACAAATCCTATACATGGACTCTGAGGTGGATATAAGGAGCACGGGAGAACAAGGTGCAGATACCAACAAAAATGGAAATGGCAGATATGTTTGGCAATAATATATCAAGACCTGGGACAGGACCTGTTTCGAGTTGAAGAAATGGAAGGAAATTGGACAAGCATACTCAGATAATAACAGAGCTGAAGAGCCAATTGGAGGAAATGCGACTTGAACAAAGATAGAAGATCAGGAGAATAGAAATAGAAGGAACAATCTGAGGATTCGGACATTACCCGAAGGGCCTCAAGGAGAAGGCTTGAGAGATGTAATGAACAAAGTGCTAAATCCACTAATAGACAGACCTACAACAGATCAACTGAAAATCGATAGAGTTCATAGGATAAAGAGACCACAAGGAGTGACAACGGGAACCCCAAGGGATGTGCGTTTCCATCATTTTGAGGATTAAGCAAGAATATGGGAGATGAGAGGGATACCATCAATAGCATACAGAGGGACGAATTTACAAATTTATGCAGATATAACACCTGAAACACTAGCAAGAAGAAGATCCCTGAGACCATTGCTGGAGTAAATGTGTACAAATAACATTTGATATAACTGGGGATTCCCAGCGTGCCTGGTTGGATGCAAAGAAGGACGCTCGGTAGACTTGAGATTTCCAGAAGATCTTCAGGATTTTTGTGAGAGATTAGGATTACAAATACCTGATATCCCAAATTGGACAGAAGGGAAGGAGTAGGAAATGGGACTGGAAAAAGAGAGGTGGCAACTAACCCCAAGAAAAAGACTGCAACAGAAATAAGATTATGTGGGAAGGAGAAAGGAGAAAACAAGAAGAGGAAAAAAGAAAAGAAGAAAATAGTTCCTTAGAGACTATATAAATACGCCGGCCTCATGCAAATGTGCGGCCTCCCGGCGTCTGGGCCTAGACACCGAGCGGCCGCACATTTGTGTGCAATTAAGAAAAACATAAGTGCTGAGAGCGTGCGCCCTGCGCGCTCCCAGCTCACATGTCCGGTACTCACGGAAAGGTCCCGATCTCCTCTTTCGATCGGGACCTTTCCTGATCAAGTGACCGCCGTGACGGCGAATCACAGCGGTCACATGAGCCGCCTCCCATCTTCTGAAACCCTTAAAGGGCCGGGAGGCACCGGCGCCAAGGGGTTAACAGATGGGGCAGAATAGGAAGTTATTTTTGAGCAGATATGGTGCTCCTCTCCCCCTCTTTTCCCTCCACATTTTTCTCTTTTCTCCCCCCCCCCCCCCCCCACCTCCTTTCAGGCTTTTTCTCACGTAAGATAATTTAAAAATGGGTAATGGGGAGAAGACATATAAGTGAACAAGTTAAGAGAGGGAATGATTGAGCCCAGAGGAATTTCATGGGGGAGGGAGTGGGAGAGGGTAAGGGAGATGGTGTGGTGTAGTAGAGAGGTATGGAGAGAATGATTATATAACTGCGGGACACAGGGAGGCCCAACATTCTCTAGAACCCACACCCTAAAAGGAGTCGAAAGGGGGGGGGGGGAGGCGTACATGGACGGAGTTCAACCCCAATTAAAGGGATCAAAGGTGGAAGTAGAACCACAACAGGGCTAGAGATGAGCCGTATGGGTTTAATAGGTAGGGAGGAGGGGTGGCGTGGGGAGGGAAGGAGGAGGGAGAGGAGGAGGGGGTAGGAATGGGAATGGGGGGATGGAGAGAAAAGGGTACATTGAAACTCTTTTTTGGCTCCAAGTTCAGTATACAGATACCTCCTTTTGTGTGGAACAAATGAAAAGAAGCTTTAATATAAAGGGATGTTGGATAAGAATGTAGTTAACTTTATGACCTACAATGTAAAAGGATTGAATATCCCGATAAAAAGACAGAAGATTACTAGGGAAATCTGGCAGCATTCAATTGATACTGTATTCTTACAAGAGGCACATATATCTCACGATTCCAGAGTTAAGTTACAATCAAGGTACTACCCGGCTTGGTACTATGCAGACTCGCCAACAAGACGGCCTAAAGCAGTAGCTATTGGGGTTGAAAAAAATGTAAGATTTATTTTAGAAGACGGGCTAGAGGACATAGAGGGTCAGTTTCTGTTTTTGAAGGGGAAATTGTATGGTATGGAATGTACGCTTGCAAATATTTACTGTCCAAACAAGAATTCAATGATCTAGAGCAGGACCCTCGATCCCCTCATGTTTTGCATTGTATTGGTATTGTTCTGTCACATGTTCTGTCCCCCTTTGTAATGTACAGCGCTGAGCAAACTATTGGCGCTTTATAAATACTGTATAATAATAATAATAATAATAATCTATCTAAAAGACACATTAAGGAAATTGATGGATTTCAAAAAAGGAAAACTGATTGTGGCTGGGGATTTTAATCTTTGCATGGACCTGCAGTTGGATACTTCGTCGCATGTGTGGAGGACTGGGGGCGAATGTTTAAGATCCCTAAAAAGGATGCTACATCAATGTTAACTGATAGGTGTGGAGAATGAAGCATCCAGTGGTAAGGGATTATATGTTCTATTCCCTGGCATATGTGATGTACTCCGGACTGGACTATATAATGATAGAACATAGAATATATAGTCGTTAATTAACTATTGAAATGACATCACTATCAGACCATGCACCAGTCACAATGAGCTCTCTCTTCTTGCATTTCTCTTTTGTAAGTCCCTCTGTGCCAGCCCAGGTTCACCACCCCTCCCTTCACTATATACATTTTTATGTAGCTACTAGTGGAAAAGCAAAGAGGAATACTATACCCACTTCAGCTCCAGCAGGTTTTACCCCCTTCATGACCAGTCCATTTTTTGCTATTCCGCACTGCACTACTTTAACTGGTAACTTTCATGCAACGCTCTACTCAAACAAAATTTGTATTATTTTTTTTCCACATGAATATAGCTTTCTTTTGGTGGTATTTGATCACCACTGGGTTTTTTATTTTTATTCTATAAACGAAAAATGACCGAAAGTTTTGAAAAAAGAAAAAAAATTTTTATACTTTCTTCTATTAAAAAATATAACCAATACAAAAATTTTAAATAACCAATGAAACATTTAAATCAAAATTCCTGCATATATTTAGGCCGATATGTATTCTGCTATATGTGTATATTGATTCATTTGTGCGCTAGCATCTACAAACTATGGTATATATACTGGATTTTTTTTTTTTTGTTGTTCTACTAGTAATGGCAGTGATCAGTGGGACTTTGATAGTGTGGTGAGCAATCTGACACTAACTGACACTGGGTGGGAACTGACTAATGGCCACTGACATTAAAGTGTTAATAAACGCAGGACCCTGCATTCACTATATCTGGTCTCCCTGGACCCTGCATTCACTATATCTGGTCTCCCAGGACCCTGCATTCACTATATATGGTCTCCCAGGACCCCTGCATCTCACTATATCACTATGGTCTCCCACAGTACACAGAACATGGAAATGCAATTAATTTAGTAAATATAAATTGCTAAATACCTTTCCTCATCAGCAGTTAGAGCAGTCTTGACTTCTATCAGTGTCCAGCAGAGCACTGGATAAAAATTGTAGGAGGAGTTTTCATTTTCTCCTGATTGTCCTAAGAGGCTGCACAACCCCTGTGCTGATCACAAGCACTCTCCAAAGAAAATAAAAACTCTAGCAATACGCACCAAACTGAGCATGTGCAGCTTGCCGCCAAGGCTCTGTTCTATCAGAAGATGGATTGGGGACAGTAGGAGAAGGGGAGGATCAAACGTCCTTTTTACACAATGTGGAGGATTAACCCCTTAGGTTCCACAGTGAGTACAACAAGCATGTTTGCGTGTACAGAATGATTTTACGGTTGTGGGTTTAGTAACACTATAATACAGTGATTAGTGATAATACTATACACTGTCACTGTATTAATGACACTGGCTTGGAAGGGGTTAACATCAAGGGGTTAAATGTGTGCCTAACAATGTGTAATGTGTGTATTATGTGCTGCTTTTTATGAAATATCTCGTACAGGGCTCTGGGCTGTGATTGGACACAGCCAATCAGCAGGTCCCAACCATGATTCATTGGCCAGGACCTGCTGACTCCCACTATGTGCAATCACTGTGGGAGTCGGTGGGGGGGCCCCCACCCTGAACCTAGAAGAGGCCATTGACTTACAGGTACAGGCCACTCATCCATAGTATATTGCGGGCGGGCAGTCCGCAAGAGGATACTGTATCACTTGAGTGGTATTTATATAGGATACAGGATTTATATAGCGCCAACAGTTTGCGCAGCGCTTTATAAAATGGAGACATTGCGGTTACAATACAATTTGGTACAAGAGGAAACAGATTGTTAGAGCTTACAATCTAGGAGATGTCCACAAAAGGCTCCTATAGTGTATTACTATGCATGAAATACATTTAATGCATATACCGAGGGCCACACCTATTTAAAATGAACCTGTGTTTTGTTCATAGAGGCAAGGAGTCCATAGATCCGCCTTTCTCAACCTTTTCATCCCAGAGGAACCCATTAAAAATATATTTTCAGTTCTCAGGGAACCCTGCTAAACTTAATTCATTAGTGGTCAGTGGGAAAAATTCTGTCCATACAGTGGTGATCAGAATGGCATCCTTACAGAGAGCCAGAAAGATAATTGGTGTTGTGCCACTGACTGCCAAGTGGTGCTGGACCCAACACCATGCAGGCACCATCACATGGGAGGTCAATTGGCCAGAGTTCAAGGAACCCCTAGCAAACTCTGGAGGAACCCTGGTTGAGAATGGCTGTCTTAGATAGCAAAACTGTCTAAAAGAAACATTTACCTGTGGCCGAAAAACGCAAATCGCTTCTCATACAACAATGGCAACAACACATCTGTAATCTCATCCAACAACTGGTCGAAGCTTTGAGGAAATGGCTCTCGGGAACGAGACTCTCTTCCGGGAAGTCTGAGGGAGTACACTGGAGAGGAAAAAGTTAGGATAATATTAGAAGCTGTCCCTGAGATGGCTCTCAGGTTCCCCCTTCACATCCCCATTGTTTTCTTCTACTCACACCAAGAAAAATAGGAAAGAAGGCCAAGAGGGCCCTAGCTCAGATAGAACATCCAAATAAAACAAATTTGCTTTTGCATGATAAATTCCCATGTCATGGCCGATGCTTCCACTAGGCAAACTAGGCGGCCGCCTAATGCAGACTGCCACCCAGGAGCTCCTGGGCACAGCACAGGCCAGCACTCTCTTTGTGTGGGATGCAGCCACGTCATGAATGATCCTTCAGCTGAGGGGAGGGGCAGCAGAGGGGAGGAAGAAAGGACAGAGGAAAATGCTGGGTGTCTGGGGCCAGTGTAGCAGCTGAGCTGCAGCTCCTTCCAGTGTTCCTCTCAGACTCAGTCTCTTACTGCAAGCTGGCTGGCAGCTGCTGATCACTGTGGAGTTCCAGCACTTCTCTTCCCATTCATGAGCGGAGGCAGAGCTGCGCCTGCAGAAGAAGGTAATGTCTGACTCTGATGTCTCATGTCTGTGTGAGTGTGACCTGGCTGGCTGGACATCCATCACATGTGCAATGTGTCAGTGAGTGATGACATCATCACAATTCCACAGCCTGCTCTTCTAGTGCCTGCTGATCTGTGTCAGTGTTGGTGTGTTGTGTCGGATCTGTCACTGTGTGGATCGCTCAGTTCAGCTGCCTGCTGTCACAGCGTTTTATCTCCCATTGCCTGGGGAATTCCAACCCAGGATCTGTCTGAGTGTGGATCCATCATCCTCCACTCACTGCAACTGTCACCCTGCCACTGCCAGCCACAGATACAGTGCGACTGTGACACTGATTTTGTTTTCAATATTGGTGCTGGTGGAATCAAATGGCACTTATTTTTGTAAAATTTAGAAATTTCATGTTTTGTTGAATTAATATTTTCTACTGTTTTTAAAAATGTTTCTTTTTTTTGGGGGGGGGGCGCAAGTAGCTGGTCTTGCCTAGGGCGCAAAATAGTCTAGCACTGGCCTTGCATATAGTCTACACCAAACTTTACAGGTTTCCCCTTATCTGCTGTTTAAAGTGGTAATAAACCCAAAAGCAAACATTTGTTATATTCCAGCTCACCAATTCTTAGATGTGATGGCTGAATTAGTTTTCTTTTTTTAGGTTCTTCTATTTTCACCTGCTGATCCAGCCAGTAAGTGTTGTTTTTCCAAAGAAGAAGCTCTCCAGAAGAATGTAGCAGTTACATGAATGAGATAAACTATTTACCAATAGTAGGGGTGCCTACAATGATCAGCTTTTATTTATTGTAAAATCTTTATCCCAAAGGAAAAAAACTGTTTGCTGTAACTGATTATAAAATATTAGCTGATTTTTAGCTTCAATTTGTTAGTGTATTTAAATCTGCTAGTAGATCTAAGTGGTGGTAAGTGATGTCTCATTAATACAGGAGGTATGTTAATAGCCAGCTCACCAGGCAAAACAAAAATTAAACTAATGCAGTCGCCACACCTAATGATTGTTAAGTTGCAATATTTTGGGTTTAATACTGCTTTAACTAGACCAGTTTAGAAGACCAACTGTGTTCAAGCACCAGGGGCCAGGTGCGGAGATGAAGTCAGAAGAATGGGGCCCTAAGCAAGAAAGCAGCTTTGCCATCCCTATTTTTCCAGCTGACATTGATAAGAACTGTAATAGGCAAAAAGAATGACCCCATTTGCATGGTCTGTATTATGGGTCCTGGACCAGGCTGAAAGCCGAAGGAAATCTAGGAAATGGAAAAAATCCTCCCTTGCAGTGGGGCGGCCCCTGCATGTAACAGACAGCGCTGGATACTTGGAGAACAAAGGATCAGGCAAGTAAAACTGTGTTCTCTAGACACAAATGAGCATTTAACCCTTGCAGTGCAAGGGCAGCCCCACTGCAAAGGAGCATTTTCCCTTTCTCTTTACCTGGAGATGATCTAGAACTATAAAAAAAAAAAAATTAGGTCTTGCACCTGGCTGTGGTGTCTGGCAGAGGGGCCTTGATCCCTGTCTGAAATCCTTAAGAAGACAAAACAGTTCACCTATATGCATATGTAGTTTCTCGCCTGGAGTCCAGCTTTAACTTCTCATGTGTAGAACTGTCAAATTTGATCAATCGGAGGAGCAAACAGCCTCTAGAGATGCCGAAAGCTCTCACTTACCAGCACTGAATAGAATCAGTGCTGGCCTAAGGTCTTCTGACCCATACTAAGCCTCGCAGTGAATACACAGGATACCTTAACCTGTTGCCATTAGCTGCAAATGGCAACACAACAGAGGCAGGCATTGTGACAAGCAGCAGGATATATTGTGGATGCCTTTCACTGGGAAACAGAGGCCTTCTTCTCTACTGGAGAAATATGTGATGTGACCAGAAGTTCAATGTGGATCTGAGAATGCTGGGTCCACGCTCTGCCATTGTTCCTTATGCTAATGTTGGGACTCGGAGCTCGAGCCATCCTGTTCTTCTACCAGCAGGCACTGTGAAATGTGTCGCCAGCTTTTCAGCCCCCACAAATAGTTTCTGTGGACAATTGTCAGGTTTGGATCTTAATATAAAGTCAGTAGGACAATGACCTCACCAAGGAGATAAAATCCTTTATCCCCTGTCCAAATTTTTTTTAACGCTGACTGTTTTTTTTAACTATTACATATTGCACCTTCTTTTAAAGCATACTTGTATTGATATTAATGCAATATATAGAAGGGTATAAATGTGAGGAGACTTTTTGGTGGTTTCCACAGCTCCAAGAAAAACCCAAAACTCAGACAGATCTGCTATGAGAATTATGGTCTCAGTTGGTGAAGTTGAGCTCAGTTCTTTGGTCCTACACTATAGGACTGGTCCATCATTGCGATGGGAAACTTGTATTATTATTAATGCAATATCTAGAAGGATATAAATGCAGGAAGGCTTTTGTAAACCTTTTGGTAGTTTCCACAGCTCCAAGAAAAACCCTAATCTCCAACAGCTCTGCTATGAGAAGTATGTCCTTAGTTGGTGAAGCTGATCTCAGCTCCTTGTTCCCAAATTTGTAGGACTGGTCCATTACTGCAAAGGAAAGTTTGTACTGATTTTAATGCAATATCCAGAAGGATATAAATGCAGGAAGCCACTCATAAACTTTTTGGTGGTTTCCACAGCTCCAAGAAAAACCCAAATCTCTGACAGATCTGCTATGAGAAGTATGTCCTTAGTTGGTGAAGCTGATCTCAGCTCCTTGGTCCCACATTGTAGGACTGGTCCATTACTGCGATGGGAAGTTTGTACTGATTTTAATGCAATATCCAGAAGGATATAAATGCAGGAAGCCTTTCATAAACTTTTTTGTGGTTTCCACAGCTCCAAGAAAAACCCAAATCTCCAACAGCTCTGCTATGAGAAGTATGTCCTTAGTTGGTGAAGCTGATCTCAGCTCCTTGGTCCCAAATTTGTAGGACTAGTCCAATACTGTGATGGGAAGTTTGTACTGATTTTAATGCAATATCCAGAAGGATATAAATGCAGGAAGCCTTTCATAAACTTTTTGGTGGTTTCCACAGCTCCAAGAAAAACCCAAATCTCTGACAGATCTGCTATGAGAATTATGGTCTCAGTTGGTGAAGTTGAGCTCAGATTTTTGGTCTAACATTATAGGACTGGTCCATCACTGCGATGGGAAACTTGTACTGATATTAATGCAATATCCAGAACGATATAAATGCAGGAAGCCTTTCATAAACCTTTTGGTGGGTTTCCACAGCTCCAAGAAAAAAATAAATCTCCGACAGCTCTGCTATGAGAATTATGGTCTCAGTAGGTGAAGTTAAGCTCGGCTCCTTGGTCCCACATTATAGGACTGGACCATCACTGCAAAGCGAAGCATCAATGGTCAATAGTGAGGTGCATGAGGCAGGCAAGGACAGGCCCAACCTTGATGTCACAAGCTGGAGATTTTCATTATAGAGCACCCAAGTTTTAGGGATCTGTTGGTCATCTTGAAGCCATTGAATGCTATGTGCAGGCTCCTCTAGATGGAGAATTAAAGAAACCCTGTCAAAATTGCAGATAAATGTAAAGAAAAAGTTTAAATGTGCCTTCAAGTTTGGGAAGGATTTTGACTAATCCAAGAAGAGTCAATTCCGCAGCATAGCCACCTTCCTCTTGCCACATCATAGTCCTCTTCTCTTCCTAGAGTGTCTACTGCCTGTCCCGAACCAGCTCCTCTGTCCCTCACCTCCCTAGCTGCCAGGTAGGAGGAAGCGGAATACTATAGGGCGCCACTTGAGTGGCAGCTCTGAGTTTGCTGGGGCTGCTGACATCACATCCAAGATGGTGGCAACCAGCTGCAGGGCTTTTGGTTTGCAACACAAGGGAATCTTTTACAGGTACATACTATCGATAAAATATTGTAAATGCTCGTAGAATCATATGGGAAGATTAGGGCTGAAAGAAAGGTGTGGTAACAGGGTCTCTTTAAACCGCCTGACATTTTTTTTATATATCTCAAAGACTCTGTTGGTGAGATCCTCAGTCTATACACCTGTTGTCGATACTATGAGGGGCTCCCACCCTCCCTATTGGATTTTAGATTTATTTTACATTATGGAGAATATAACAAGAGGAGCAGGAACACACAGAAGTGGACAAGAACAAAGTCAGGAATTATGGCAGGGAGATCCCACTGTTGGAGCATCCAAGACAAACAAGAAGTCAGGTTCTGACTCCGATCACAATGCTCTACCAATAAATAACTTCCTAGAGGATTGAGGCTCTAATAAAACCTATTAACAACCGTTTACATTTTTCTGTTATATGGCAACAATCAATATGAAAACCACAGCACTGTTAGCAATCAGAATTAATTTCAAAGTTCTATCAGCAATTCACAGATAAAGAGTAAGATTCGGTTGCCATGAAGCCCTATAAATCTGTTTTCCATGACATTAGCCTTTTCTCATGTTGCAAATCAC